AATCGAATTTTTTCAAAGTGTAACAACAAAAAAGATTTTTTTAAAGTGTAACATCGGTATGTAGTAAGTGTAACAACATACCGATGTTACACTTTAAAAAAATCTTTTATGTTGTTACACTTTGAAAAAATTCGATTGTGTTGTTTCATTTCAATAAATTTTTTTATTTTTGTTTCACTTTTATGTGTTGTGAATAGAAGTTGCGTTTTCATTCTCGGACATTCATATATGCTCTTGTTGGATTATAACTGTTTCATGATTGTTTGTTTATTTAGATCGAATATGCCGTGCGTCATAAAATACAATTTTGCGTTCCATTCAGAATTCAGCTGGTTCAAACATAAATGTTGCCATTTTTATTCCAAAAATAGCCAACTATTGCATGCTTATTTCAAAAAATTTACATTTCACATGTCATAAATAGTTTTTCAGGCATTTATTTGAAGGGGAAAAAACGGAAAATGACACATCGAGTTGCTACATATGTATATTTTAAATTCTTTATATCTTTACGTTGATGACATGATTTATGATTCCTAATGATTTATATCGTAGTCACATTTATGTTGTGTATTTAAAATTGTGTAATACCATTTGAAATATCTCGTGCTCAAGGTCACAAGAACAAGTAAAATTGATATAAATGCACACAATCTTTAAAAGAACGTTGAATAACCCGTTATTTTTTCGGGAGTTTAGATTCGAAATTTTCATTCATCTTAATTTGTATTTATTTATCTTATTCATGAGATTTAACGAAAAAATCTGTCTTAGCCTATTATTCCAAAGGATAATGTCATTTTTTTTTTTCAAATGAGAAGTTGTTTCAACTTCAGGATTATGATATTTTATAGAATAAATTTTCAAAAATAGTCAATCATGTCTCAGATGTTCTTTGAATAGAGTCGATAATCCTTGATCGGGGCAAAAAGAGATTCAAGTTTAGGGTCGTTCATTTTGTCGGCTTTGCGCATCAAATCCTGGTAGAAAACGCCATCGAATTGGAAAATTTCCTAAAATGTTACCAATTAAAATAAAAGAATCAATTTTTTTTCACTGAGCAATCGGTTTCAATTCCAATTGGTTACCTGAACTGACTGCAATAGACCGGCTATAGCGAAATTTTGTCGAACATACGAGAAAGCGACATTGTAGAGATGCGCCGCCCGCACATGCTTAGCCGTCAATACCGTTGGATACGCTGCATCCAAAATTTCATTTGCATACACCTTATGTTCGGTATATAGAATGCCATCGGCTTCGTTTTCACCAATCAATCCGCTCTGCAGAAGTAAATTGTAAATTGAGATGAAAATAATTGGATCATGGCTGGATTGATATTCATTTTTTTTAAATAAAAGTTCACACAAAAAATTACCTTCACCAAAGCGTAGAGAGTAACGCAAACCAATGTAAGGTCCTTCGACAATTTCTTGATTGCCAAAATGATGTCGTCCGGCAATGTCATGATGAATGCGAGAATTTTCCATCGCATTTCCAAAATGTCTGAATCATCGTTGGCTTTCGCATACAATTGATCCAACGGAGACACGGTAACTGAAAATTTCATAAATCGAAATGACTATGTAAACATCAAGTGCGAAGTTCAACTTACATTTGGGATAAATTGGTGTTTCGGTATAAGCCTTGTAGAATACATCGATGGCTTTCTTCATCAGTAGCGTAAATGAGAACTCTTTATCGTCGTTTCGTTGTCGAATGACGCCGATTTTTCGTTTAAGCCAATCTGCAAGCAGCAATGGAAAGTTGGCTCCTGTGGCACATCCCCGCATGTCATAAAATGGCATCGTAATTCCTTGATTGGTGCTCATCATGGTCATGTATGGACGATACATGCTCGTGGTCAATAGTTGTTTTTCTATCGGATCGTCAACGGTTGCCACTGGAAAATCGGTACTGTACGACTCGATGCTTTGCCTGATCAGTTGTTGTTTAGCATCGTTGCCATAGCCAAAGATCTTCTGCTTGATTTGTGTAATGTGTGCATCAGAAAGTTGTCCGCTACCAAAACCGCGTACATAGTTAGCAACATTTTTGAATTTGTTTCGCATTGGACCCAATGTGCGATGGAAACTGTTGAGCTGGTCATAGTATTCGTTGGTGAAATCATTGCCCAACAGAGTTGCCAGAATTGGCAATTGTCGTTGTGAAAGTGAACAAATTTTGGCCAGAGCCTTTCGATTGTATTCAACCGTTTTCACTTGTTTTGATGCTGTTATTTCGATGTCGTTGGATGACCACAGCTTCCATGGGCCATCAAAAATAAGGAAATCGGTGTCATTTGTCATAACAGCCAATACGTCGTGATTTTTGGCGTATTGTGCGATTTCCAAATCACATTCGTACTTGATTGAATGATGGAAATCGCCGTAGGTCTGTGCAACCAATTCCATTCCATGGAATTTCGTTGTTAACCCTTTTCGTTCCTGAACGGTGGCCACAATCGTTTCAACACCGACACCAGCATCGATCAATTCGTACAAAGACGTGTACAAATCGAACTTTTCATTTCGTCGGCTGAGCCATGTGTCTGATTTACCATCCTGAAGGGTTAAATCGGCAAAAAATACCAACAAACACCCAGTCGCTTTCAATGCATCCAACAGTTCTGTCCATGCTTTGATCGTAATTTGATGACGACCACTACAAATTGTATCGTTTTCCTTTCTGGCCACGCAATGTGTCAGGCTAAGAAAATCAATAACAACTGTTGGTGTCTTATTGGGGTTCTCCCTGTTGCGATATGCGAAAATATTGTCAAAATTTGCAAACAAAACCATTTAAATATTGAAAAAATTACCTCTTCCATTGTTTGATTTCATCACCAATATCAATGGGATAAATTTCACCTTCACGCTCCAAAAATGTTTTCAAACCGCGAACACCCATTTTTCACTTTTGATCCTCGAATGCAATATGATGATCAAGAGAAATAAAATTCACTGCAAATCAAACACTTGAATATTTTAGCTATAGGCACTTGGTACCATGTAATATCTCGCTGCAGTGAAACTAGCAGTTGGAATTAATAATCGTTCGTTATTTTCACCTCTAATTTAAATGCGATCGATTTTTTGTGTTAAACACGTCTATCTGCTCCAGTGTTTATTTGACACTTGAATGAAGAACTCCAAACTCGTTAAGCGAGTGGACATTTGTGGAGATGTTGTGCGGTGTATAACATTTAAATTGGATACCGCAAACGGTCGTGCTTACGCTTCGTATCCGCATACAGTGACACTCAGTAAAAAGATGTGTCTGTATTTTTCAATATGACTGTGTACGAATGCAAAGTGTAATTAGGAACCGATACGGCGATGTGTTTATATCCTTTTTAAATATTTATTCTGCACATTGTATCGAAGTGCTGAATCACGTAAATTATTGCATTGTGCGATAAACGATATCCAAACGAATCTGCGCGTCAGTTGTTTTGTATTTCAACTCACATCGTCAGGAACACACAATGCCATAATGCATTTTTTTAAACCTTTTTTTATACGCAAGAAAGAATAGTATACTGATTTTAAGAGAAACACATCTCTCTGTATTGGACACAGAACAAATATTTATTGAAATGAATTTTAGTGACGTCATTTTTGATACGAGTTCAAATTAGATCATTGTTGCTCTGTGCGAAAATGAAACAAAGAGAAAAAGTCTCAAGTTCCACAACGTGATTTTAATTCCTGGTTCTTGCGTAAAATCGTAAAATGTTATGAATTTGAACATGCAAAACATTTCATGTACAAATCGAATTGTTCGTTTCGCCGGCTATAGTAATAATAATTTATTGGGACAGTTTACTGTTTTGCCATTGTGTGTTAGTTGGTTAACTGAAGTTATCGTTTTTATGAAAACGAAATGCTCGACGATTGAAAGGAAAATATTTTTGCCAAGCGTTCGTCATAGAATAGCTTAGCATGCACTCCATTTAATACTCGGTATTATATACCGGTATATCGCACACGCAGAGCTGACGCACGCACCTCTCTCGCGCGCAAACGCTTCGAGTTGTGAGTGTATGCCATGTGGTTCTGTGTCTGAATTGGTTGCGATCGTTGTGTATGTAAATGTGTGCGTGCGAGAGAAGTGCTTGCGGCAGCTCTGCGTGTGCGATATACCGGTATATAATACCGAGTATTAAATATAGCGTCTGCTAAGCTATACTCTCACGGACGCTTGATTTTTGCTTGTTGTTGTTTGTGATGTGAAGAATAAATGACATCATTTTTGTTCAGATCGATGCGGTGGCGGTTGGTCTGGATTATTTGGATTCGGATTATTTCGAAGCATATCAAAAAATGTTCGCATTTCTTGGTTGGATGCCTCAAACATCTCCGGATTTTGCTCACGTATTTCTTCAGCATATTGACATCCACTAATAATAAATAAACAGCAAACCAAATCCAATTAGCCACTTGCATAATTTAGCAAATATATGTATATAACCAAAGTTGTCTGTTACTATTTTATAGTCTCTGGTTGTGTTCTACTCACATTTCGAAATAATTTTAAGCATTGTTCGCGTCCGATGATTGATTGCTGTTCAAGTCTGAAATCGTATGTCGATGTGCTAGTCCGATCATTTCGGTGACAATGTTCGTTGAGGCTGGAAAATGAAATTCGACATCGAAATCGCCGTCACTTAAATCTGCGCTTTGACCTGAATTTTTGGGTTAAACATGTTTTATTTTATTAATTACGAAGTTGAGGATATTCGAGTAATCAACAACATTTTGACAATTGAAGAGATTAATTCCGGTTTTCACAAATCATTCAAAGGGAAAATTGAATCGTTTCGATGGAATTACATTCACAAAAGTAGGCGCAAAAATCAGAAGTAAAATTCAAACCTTCCAAAGGCAATACCTTCTTGGATGCGTTTTTGGATGTCACTCAAGTTGTTTTGGTAATGAGCGTTGTCTGGATCCAAAGGAAGTGTATTCTTGTATGCACCTTCGGCTTCCTTGTTCTTGTTCATTTTTGCATTGGGCCATACTACAATGGAAAACTCACATTAGAACCTGTTCATTCGTTCAATGACGATTTCGAAAAAAAGTGAACTTACCCAAGACGACCGTATGCTTTGCTGTAGTTTGAATCGTATCTCAGAGCCATTTTGCAGTCTTCGGCCGCTTTTTTGGTAGTCACCCAATCGGCTATAAGCAGCAGCTCGGTTACAATAAAACACTGGGTTGGTTGCGTCTATGCTGAGTGCACGATTGTATGCGACCAGAGCCTCCGTATATTTCTCTTCTTTCATCAGTTGGTTTCCCTCATTTTTGATGTTTTCCACCTCTTGTTTTCGATCCGGGCTGATGGTGCAGCATGTGCTCTGGTAA